GTTGGTCTTGAACCCCTGACCTCAGATTGATCCACCCACCTCGGCCTCCCAAAGTGCTGGGATTACAGATATGAGCCACCACGCCCTGCCCTAAATGGTTTTTATATAGTGAGTTCTCTATGGTGAATGTAAGTAATTGCCAAATCTTGACTCAGGTTGGCTGGTGATGAGAAGAGAAACTGCACAGCCAGTATCTGGGCTACATTTGTTTTTTAAGATGGCAATGCAATAAACATATTCAGAGCTACGTCTTTGCATACATCCAGGCTTACTTCTGTGGCATAAACTGCTAAATACTAGGTTAAAAGGGATACATCTTTTTTTTTTTTTTTTTGAGATGGAGTTTTGCTCTTGTCTCCCAGGCTAGAGTGCAATGGCGCGATCCCGGCTCACTGCAACTTCCGCCTTCCAGGTTCAAGCGATTCTCCTGCCTCAGCCTCCTGAGTAGCTGGGATTACAGGTGCCTACCACCATTCTCAGCTAATATTTTTATTTTATTAGATAGGGGGTTTTGTCATTTGGGCCAGGCTGGTCTCAAACCCCTGACCTCAGGTGATCTACCTACCTTGGCCTTCCAAAGTGCTGGGATTACAGGTGTGAGCCACTGCATCCAGCCGGAATGAATAATTTTTAAGGATTTTTATATGTGTTGTCAAATAGCCCTCCGGAAAAGCTGAACCAATGTATCACCAGCAGGCTATTTGAGTATTCATTTCCTGATACCTATATTTTAATCTTTATCAAGTTAATGGGAAAAAAGTGGTTGTTCCCTGTTTTAACCAGGTACCACCCATTAAGTTTTTTAACATTGCCTTGAACAGTCTCTTTGTCTCCACTCATTCACCATATCAATTCATTTTGTATGCTCCTGCCAGATTAATCTTCTTACAGTAGGGCTCCTATGACACTATTCTCCAGCTTAAAAATTTTCCATGACTCCTCACTACCTACTGACTCACGTACAAACTCTCCAGTCTGTCATTTAAAACACTCTGCCATACAGCCTCACCACATCTTTCTAATCTTATTTAAGCCTCCACTTTCCTTACGCATAACCTATGATCCAGTCAAAATCATACAGTCATTGCTTTCCAAAACATGATCCATAATTTCTCATCTCCGTGTCATAATAGCGCAGTGACAAAAATTCATGTCATGAGTGCTACAAATCTCCCCTCCCCTGCCCATGGCAGATATTGTTAATCATCACAGGCTTTCCCACTGAGCTGGGGTACAGTATCTTTACATAGTGCTACTCACCGCCACTATCAATTAACTGTAATTGGCACTTTCGGTGAAAGTAACTTGCCAATCCTGTAACAGTTCTTTCACCTAGTTGACCTTTACTCCAGTTCCTCTTCTTGAATCTGTTCCCAACAATTGATGTTCACTTCAAATGCTCCCTCCTCTGGAAAGCCTTTCCTGTTGCATTCTCTGCATGCAATTTTCTAAGTATATTACATGGTTATTTGTGTGCTGTCCTCTGCCCTCTTGGGACCATAAGTGTATTAAGGCAGTAAAAGTAATAAAGAGCTCAGATTCTGGAGCCAGACTACATTAGCTCAAATCCTGTCTCTATCCAACTAGTTGTCAGCCCTTAAGCAAGTTGTTTAACATATTTGAGCTATAGTGCCCTCATCTGTAAAACGGGCATAATAATTGGATCTACTGCAGAAAGTTGTGAGAATTCTATAAGAA